GGGTATATAATTTAAAGAAAGCCCCAAAACCTCCTACAGAAAATACTTTTTCTAATAGTTTTATTGAAATTCCCATATTACTCACTTCCTTGGAATGAAGCAGAGATAAAAACAAACAATTCTGATAAGATATACAAGCTATCTTAAAGTCATGGCACATAAAGCCCCTTTCACTGACTGATCAAACCAGATAATTAGTTACTTAAAAGGACTAAAGAGAGGAAAATTGTGATGGGAAAGGGGAGGGAAAACAAGGCTTGGAGCATGTCCAATCTTGGAAAGGCAACAGATTCTGAACTGTTGAAGGAAATGATAAAAAGGAGACATCACTAGAGACAGCCTCATGATCTTGAAATGATTGTTAGACCCAACCCCAATGCTATGTACCCAACCCCAATGCTATGTACCCACACTTCCATTTGTCAGTCCATCCATGAATCCATCCATTTAGTGAGTGTTTACTGACTAACTTTTTAGAAGGCACTGGGGTGGTACACTAATGACACAGAAATAAAAGAAACTCAAACCTTTATTCTTAAAAAAGCTTACCAAGGAATACAAGCCTCTAAACAATATGTACAAGTCAGAGTCCTAGATGCTGTAATAGATGCCATTCTCTAGATGTATTATTCTTTTAATCCTTCTAAGAATGCTCTAAGCTAAATACTATTACCAAGTCCATTTTACAGACGAAAAATGGTGAGAAACCTAAAATAACTTGCTCAAAGTCCTACAGATAGAAAGAGACAGGATTAGGATTTGAGCCCAGCTTACCTAGCTCCCAAGCCCATTATTTTAACACTCTGTGGTGCAGCTCTCAAGAGCCCAAAGGCATTAAACTAAAACTCTGCTGAACTAAATGTGAGAAATATTACACAGACTCTAATGGTCACCTCTACTTGAAATTTCAGCTACTCAGAAAAGAAATATAGCTCTTCAGCTGAAATTGGGAAGAATACATCAGGGTTTTACAGTCACTGCATCATTCATTCTCCAGAGCATCATCATAATCAACATGACTGGTTGTGAGTTTAAACATCAAGGCAAACTGTATCCTCAAGGATTCAATGGGTTAGTTAGTAAGACACCTTTGAATTATTATGATTTGGCCATTTTCATTATAAGTAGAGACAGGCATTGGGCATTCCTTAGGCTCGCAAAAGAGACTGATGACAAATTAAAAAATAGTATAGGGAGGCCAGAGATTTGTGAGTGAGAAAAATTTTGTCAGAATCTAGGGAGGAGACCTAGGAGACTGTAGCATCTAATTTGATACACTTATAAGCCACAAACATGTCTGAATGACCAGGAGCCAGCCACCACCACAAAATAACCAGGATAGGTCTGGAGTCAGCAGGGAAGAACTGGGAAAATGGCCAGGCCGATAATGAAAGGGGGCATTAAGGTACACATTAAACTCTCCGAAGGGAAAAAAATAAGCAAAATTTCCAAGACATCCCTAACAAAAAGTTTAAAGTATTAACATTTTGCTAAAGTAGCAAAAATGGCAAATTTGCTGGTTTCACTAAGTACATTATATTGCCTTTTTTTTTCTTCTTCTTGAAGTGGGAAGGTGGTAAAGCTTCACTGAGCAATAGTAAGTGTGGATGTAAAAGACTGTTCAAAAGTGGTGCATCGCCCAATCACTTAGAGTTTGGAGGGAGCAGCTTATTTTTCTGGCATTGAGAATTCAGCATATTTGGAGCTGGCATCCACTAACTTAGTTCATTTCCCTGAGTGACTTGGGAATCCAGATGGGAGAGAAGCTGTCTTATTTTGTGGAGAAAAGCTGCCACAGGAACCCAGGGTGCTTTGATTGAAATTTCAGACATTTGATTTTGTCAGAGTTCAGATCCCTTTCCTCTGAAATGCCCTGCCTTAATAGCCACGGTAACCCATTGCCAATCTTTCCCGCAAACATGTCTCCCTATGATTGGGAAAATTAATGAACAGGCTCTCGCTAATATAATTAAACCCAAACACTCCTGATTTTAGTTTTAAGAAAAAGCCACTGCCCTGATTTTCTCTTGACAACACAAAAGTCTTGCCATCCTCGAACTGTTGAATTATTGAAATGAACTGTAACAGTACACCGGCTGGGGGCAGAGGTCGCAGAGCAGCACTGCAAGTCAGAAAGCAGGGTGACAGGAGGGCCTGCCGACGCCTGGGGCTGCAGGGACAAACCCACACACTTTTTCTCAGGCAGCGAGCCTCCGATAGGTAGCCTGATAGCGGGACTGATTCGCTCGTGTTCTAAAAGTCCAATGGTGCTTGCTTGTTTTAAGACAGGCCAAACTATGCTCTGGTGACCACCACGACATCACAATTCCCATGCCCTACCACATTCCTCTTTGCAGATCCCAGGCATTTTTTTTGTCTCCCTACGTGCAGTCCAGGATGTAGACAAAATGAATTCCAAGTGACCTATGTGGGGGTGGATTTTTTTTAGAAACAAACAGCAAATTAAGACAAAAAAAATCTTGTTCTCACTTTTTTTTTCTTCTCTTTTGGAGGGGATGTATATGTTTATTTTCTCAGAGACACTTTCTGGCAGTGACAACTGAACTCAGTTTTATGAAAGTGTCTTTTCGCCCAAGTTTTAAAATACAAAATACTAGCCGCAACTTGTTTAACTGTCTTATCTGTTTCCCAGACCTAACAGAACCTATGACAATTACTTTCTTTAAACAGAGATGTCCAGTTTTCTGACTCTAGAATAACAACATCTCCTGGAAATGTTTTTTCTAATATGTCATTAATAATATTTAGACTATTAGAAAAGATGATGGGGGGACAGGAAAATGTTGCTATAAATGTTAATACTATGTAAACAAGTATAAAAGTGTGATTTTCAAATATTTTATTTAATATTCAATATTATTATTTAGTAATCAAGAAAAGTTAAAAATAACTACATCTAACGGTTTGATAAAAAGATAATTTCTAAATATTTTATTGCTCTGAATACAAACATAACTCTTTTTATAAATAAAAAAGAACTATCTGAAGTAACAGGATTTTCTGCAGTTCCAGGGATGGCCTGAAGCCAGCTTGTCCTCAGTCTTCCTGTTCTATGTCATGCCCTTGGATGCCATCTTTCCCCCTCTTTACACCCAGTACCAATGGGACTTCTTATTTCTCTCACTTATTAAAACTTGCTCTAAGGCTAAGCAATGATAAAGCCTTAAAGGGGCTTCATAATCTTCTAATAATAGAATGTGGATATGTGGCCTCTTCTTCGGACCAGCAAAGGTAATGGGAGGGCCGGATATTACTATGCATGTATACCATCTTTATCCAGACAACACCTTCAAGAGTGAAGGGCAGCAATTAACAACTCCACTGGGTCAAGAGGCCTAAGCCAGAACTATCCCAGGTAAGATGGGACACCTTATGTATTTATCTGCATATTTGATAGTAAAGACACTCATCTTTAGATACACTTTAGATGGCTGTATCTTGTCATTTTCCTAGCCAGATGACCTCCCTTTGTCTTTCGCTTCCTGCCCCCCTCTCCTTAAGCTGAACTCCTGGATCAACACTGCCAGCTTCCTAGGGTCTCAACAGAAATTTTGCCATAAGCTGATATTTTCCAGTCTATCCAGATAGATTAGCCATGACCAAGTGAGATATTGGTGTCTCCAGGCCACCCTTCAAGAGTGACAGCTCTCTACCATCACTCAGCCCCTCTGCCCTAGTCAAGTTGCTTGGGATCCAAGAATCCCCATGTGAGAAAAGCTTCATGGATTAGGCATAATTCCATGGGTGAAGCAATAAGGACATGAGAAGAGGCAAGAGGACCATTATAAGCTGATGTAGCAGTACAAGAATTTAGCATCAGGGGAAGCAATCCTATTCTTCACAATATTATAGTGCATGGAGAAAAATCTTAACAGCCATGGTTCATTTAGTTCTAGGTGCCTTCAGATACAAATGTGATAAAGAAGATCCCTGGCAACCCTTTGGATGGGTTTTGTGAACATGTAAAGGATGGCTAGCAGTAGTGTCAAACTTTAGTATTTATAAAATCACATGGGTCCTGTATTTAAAATGGTTGCTGGGTTCCACTCTTCAGCAAGTTTGATGCCCAGGAATCAGCATACGTATGTAAAAGACCATCAGATGATTTGGATGGAATAGATCCATGCAGCCAAAGGCACTGATAAAGGCTACCTCTTTCTAGGTCATTCTCTTGCCATGGGCCTGTAAGTAACTTCTTCTGATTGCCTAGAAGTCCTAATATATTGGGAGGTGAGTGCAGACCTACTTAAGACTTTCCTCATTCCTATAAAAAGTGGCATGGTGCACATCCTGGGAAAATGGGCCACTTTTGGCATAGACTTGAAATTAAGGACTAAGATCAGGCTCCAGAGAAATAATGTTAAGTATAGCCTAAACCCTGTTCAAGAAGAAATGGTGATTCCCTTTATGATCCAGACTTGGCAAAGATAATTTAAAATGTAGCTCAGCCACCTCAGCTATGTACAGGAACATACTATAGGGAATATGAATGAAAATTACTGTTAGGGAAACATCTGAATTTTTCAAACAAGGTGAGATTTTCTCCCCGGTTGTCTAATTTAACATTCCAATATGAGAAGAAATCCAGTCTCTGAAAACTGTACTTAATCCATTCTTTATATAGCATTACAGACTTTTTCATTTCTCTCCACACTGCATTTTGTTGTTTCTGTCTCGGAGGCTCTAACGCAGGGCCAGGACTTGCACTGGGAGGCCTGTGGATTACAGGAAATAATGACCTGTATATATTTAGTTGTTCAAAGGAAATTAGAGTAGCCTGATTTTTATTATTCCCCATTGCCTCACGTTCTCTGGTGTAATAACTTGCCCTGTTCTCTAATTTACTTTTACATCATCGGAAATGTATACCATTTAGCCCAGATTCTCTCATGACCAATCAGGACCTGCTGCTAGCTCAGTTTACAAAACCTTCCACGGAATGGGAAGCCTTCCTATTGCAGGTCAGCCAAAGATACTGGAAGAACTGATCTTTCTGGATAGTATATGAACTGGAGAAAGTAATTTGCCAACTTCTCCCCTTAGGTAGCCAGTGACCACTGGGTGTCTTTCCTATTGAATGTGACAGCTAACCTTTTCAGGACTCATGTCATTTTAGATTAACTTTCTCCTGTAAAAATTTGCAGGCAATTTCCTTCTGATTAATTTTTTCATTGTTAACCTCTCAGTGTGTTTCCAGTGGTGCTGCCTCCCTGTCCTGCCTTTCCTCCTCTATTACCCCTTCTCTTACCACAAAACTTCAACATTATCTTTAATGTTAATATCCAAATCTAAAATTCTGCTTGTGTTTTTAATTTAAGGGGGAAAAAAAAACTTTTCTGTTTGGTTTTCTTAAGAACTGTGAGTAGAAACTTAGATCGTGACTTTATTGGGATTTTCTAGTCCCATAGCACATATCATCTATATTTGCTAGAATACTGGGGG